ATTGATTTTATTATTATTTCTATTTAAACAGTCAATGTCTTTAAAATTATCTGTCACGATTTATGCATTGTGCAACTTTTCTTGTTATTACTGACTGCTGACTTAAGGAATGCACTAGTATCTGATTTCCTTGCTCCTGTAACCCCCTCCCTTCTCTACCTGCAAGAAACCCTGTAAGAAATAAGAACACAGAGAGCAAAAGATTCCACAGAGAAAGCATGTTTTCAAGTTAGAGATGGTACTTTCACCCTTTTTTGTTCCTCTACATAACATTTCATTAAAGAAAAAACACCTACTTCTGGCAAACAGTCCAGTGACATTCATCTAGTCCAAAAATGACAAATATCATTATCCCAAAGCACTGACAGAGGCTCTCTCTGGAATCACTCATCTTCTTATTTGTGGCAGACTATGTGGTATATTCATAAGAAAACAAATAATAATTTGCTAGTCCATCAAAAGTGAAAAGTAGAAAAAGAAGCACCAATGAAATGCAGTTTCTTCAGATTTCCACTTCACGCTCAACCTCTGCAATATTTTCTTCATTCTCCTATTTCTGTCACACGATCTTCTTTTACAGAGAGTTTAAATCATTTTATCCTTGTTATAAATCTAAAACTGATTTCCAAAGCTAAAAATTATGTATGATGGCACTTTCCTATTGTTATTTAATTGCTTCAACACCAGTGCTTTGATAAATTGGCTAAGATACATATTTTTTTTCCCCCAGTTTCATCTTAATAGTCTTTACTTTCATGGTTTAACCTCTTGGAGCCTTTAAAAATGATTTTGTAGTCAGTAATGTATTTAATGCCAGAAAAGATAAACCTTGGCAAACTAGATCATTGTAATTACTTCTGTGTTACACCTCTAACATTGCAGAATGGCAAATCAGATCACCTTTACTGGAACTTGTCATGCACACGTGTTTAATTACCTTAACATTGGATATAAATATCTATTCCTTCTTTATATCTGTCCTTCTTTCCAGTTAAACTATTCTCATATTCTGAATGTTGATAATCCTGTAGAACACAGGATTACCCAAGCTTTAAACATTTGCCATTTGATCCCCTAGGCACTTCAGCCTTGACTTTCAGAAAACAGGGCTGGTTCCCTGTAAGTGCTGGCTGCCCGACCTCAAGACCGTTCAGTTAAACCAACCACTTTCACAGGGTGTAGATGGGCTGCTGTTCTCAGTAAATACTTCACCTGAGTTTTCTGACACACAGTTGCATTCAGAGTCACCCAAAACACTGACTTTATTCAATTACAACAAATCCACTGATTTTCATGTCTCTAGCTCATCTCCACGATTATATTTTCTTCCTTCACAGTGAATTTCAGCTTCTAAATACCTGAGAACCAAGTTCCTTTTAAAATTTACCCTAAGCAAAAGCCAGCTACCTCAGCTCTGTACAGCACTGAGGTTTGTTCTCTCCCTGAATAGAATTATACGTATTTTGAAAATGAGAAAAAAAAATACAAGTGATCAAAAGCATTAAGCAGGGGGATTATCACAGGGGGGATTATATGTAAATCCTTATATGCAGCCCGTAACAAAAGAACATGGAAATTGCAGTATCATTTCAAACCTGAGCAATGCCAGGCCTGGGAGCATATGGCATTGCACTGGCCTATTCTATTGCTCTTCGTGTCGAGAGAAGGCACCCTGAGGTTCTCCAAAGCCGCAGAATATCAGCCTCTGCTGAGACGTAAAGGGCTCTCAGCAGAATTTTTCATCAAGCTCTGAGCAGATGTCTCTGTATTTTTTTATTTTTTATTTTTTTAAGTTTTTTAAGTGAGCATGAATAAACTAGCTCACCCAGAGAAATCAAGAGAACAGAGAAGGGTGATTCCACTGTATTCTTTTTCTACCTCTAGCGCCGTTTTTATATTGCACATCTGCAGGGAAAGCTTTTAAGATAATACTGAGTACAATATAAACGTCACTAAAAATTCAGATAGCAGGAATTCAACCAGAAAAAAATATATTTTCACTTCAACTAGTCCTCCTTGTACTTTTTGCCGTCCTCTTTTAATTAACTGCCAACCTTCCTAGTGCACACTGCTCAGCCTCCTCCTTATTTCCAGCAATTCACATCGTGAACCATGCCCACTTAGATGAAAACGCTCTCTAAGAACTTCTTCCTTCATTCAAAGGGAGTTAAGAGTTATCCTGAAGCCAGAAAAAAAAAAAAAAACAACAAGTGGATAACCAAGGCCATTTCAGAAAGAATGCCACCTTGAGAGTATGGACAAGGATAGAACAGTCTTATAGTAAGCCTTCTCTTGACACACGTACCATCAGTGGAGATGCCTGACTGTGATATGTCACAAAGATGAGGCTGGTGAAAGGAAGGACACTTGCCTCTCCATCTGCTCAAAGAACGTGGCTATTACCACTCAAGGGACGCTGCAAAGCCAGAGGTTTGTCTTAAACAAAAATGTAGTGTTAGATGAAACAGCTTGAGACTTCTCAAGGTTTCTAAATTCAGAGAACTGGAATTGAATAGAAAGGGCAAAGGCACTTCCACAGCACTGAAGGTGGACCAAGAATTTTAATTGCTGTTCAGATTCCAAGAACTTTGGCTTATATACACATTCCTTTTACCTAAAAAACCAACAGTGCCCAGAAACAAGACTACTGTAGTGACACATTTCCGAATTCAGCTTACTAGAGTCACCACTGGAATATATGGTGTGAAGACGAAGAATTTAAACCCTACAGAAGACCACGGTACAAAGGGAAGCTTTGATGTCTGCACAAGAGCTTACTCTGTCAACCTAACTTGTCAAAGTACTAACTTACTGAGGTTTAGGGTTACTGACTTTGCTCTTCTTCAAAGGAAATTGTTTAAGATATCTGAGACATGAGTGCACAAACACTTTGATTTTTCTGCATAAAATGCAATGTTTCAGGCTCACTATTTATGTAGAAATTAATATATTTTCCTACCAAATACAACTTTTTTTTTTTTTTTTTCATTTACCCAAGAACATGATTTTGAATTCTATGAACTATTTTGGAGTAAGCTTTTTCTTTTTTAAGCACACATTCTGAGCTGACACGAGGGTTAAATTGCCACTCCTGATCTTCTCTATTTTCTCTTTCTTACTATTGCTGTTTCTTCTCCTTCATCTGGAAAATAGTTAAACTTGTTCATGCATTTATGTGCGTTCACATACTGATGACTTCCAGGACATTTGCCTTGTTGATATTTCTAACACTGATGGTAACTACTGTTTATTGTATCAATCACACCTCAGCTGTGATAACAAGGTTATCAATTTGTGGCAGTATAGCACACAGTCACCAAATATTTAAGGTCCTAAAAAGGCATTTTTGCAGCTTTCCAGTGTAAGCTACCCTAACACCAATCCTCAGGCTAAGTTGCTTTAGCAGACTCACATCTCTCTCTCCAATCTGCAATTGCATCACTGCACTGCAGTGCAAATGTGCTTTAAAGCCCTTATGCACTTGTAACAGATCAAACTTCAGCACCATGGGAATCTAGATACCACTTGTATGGTAATCCGTAATTAGAAACAGTCAAGAAACCTGGAGGAGCACCTCTTGCTACACTATATTTAAAGATGTGTCTAGGAGCAAAACTGTCAATCACAAGTCAGCAGGTTTTCAGTTCAGTGAGTAAACTGATTTTTGTCGCGTCTATATTTATTTAGGGACGCTAGCAAAAAACTTATTTTTCCGTGCAGCATCTGTATAAAGCAAATAAACATTCTTTCAGATTTCAAATGAACCTCTTCAGTGAATTGTGGTTTTTTGAGTATCTGTAACATTTAGCAGCTCACCTGACAAATGTCTATCCAGAAAATATTACATTTTGGAATACAGAGAATTTCACCATGTATTCTATTACCAAATATTTGTGCTTGAGGATCCCTTATAAAACTACATGGCAATCTCCAATGTGATTTTCTATTTCTTTTTCTAAAAACTAATTGTCCATACGTTTTCAATAAATAACAGTAATGAAGTAGTTCTGAATGAATGTTGGGAAAGTTTAACCTACATTTGGTGCACAAGCTCTGAGGGTCAGTAGAAGTGTTTGCAGAACTATAGTAAGTTTAATAAATGCATTTGTGATTACACTTTCTTAGAAAAAGGCAACCCTTTCAATTTCACTATGGGTTTCTTTTGTGGAGACAGTCCAAATTCAGAAATGCACCAAATCCACGGTTACTTCTGGAAGCAAATATAGCCTTCTGTCTCTGCAAATTTTCAAGCAAGTTCTGTCAAAAATAACTGCCATTATAAATCCTTGTTCAGTGTTTCTTCTTTTTAAAATAATTCTTAAAAAAAACACAACACCTGTAACTACCCCAACAGTACAATGACACAGAATTTCCACACTGCTTTTCTCTGTGCTTTTTTTTCCCTACAGTTACTAAGTTTCTAAAAAAGATAAATTGCTACTGACCGTGGAGATCATTCCACAGCAATAGAGAACAGCAGATTTAACAGCAGATTAGAGCCAAGAGAATCCTCCAAATGCTATACGAGCAACCCAGTTTGTTTTCTGTTCCTACCCAAAAGGCAGTGGAGACATATGGAGCCTGCCAGCCCTGCAACGCAATAATTCTCATTAGAGTAACACATACACTAACAGAAACACTGAGCAATATAAACCTGTACTACTTCAGTAATCTTTTACAAACAACAATTATTTTAGTAACAATCTTTTCAAATTATAAAGTCACTGAATGTTTGTAATTTAGGTGAGATCAACAAATCAAGGAATATTTGGAAAGTTTTCTGAGAATACTTTTGTGGTTTCGTGTGCAGGCAGACAGCTCTCAGTTCTCCCCATTCTTCTGTCTGGGACATGTATAGTTCCTGTGTCAGATTCTCAAATATTCCTGAGCATATTTCTGCCACAGGAGTAATAGGGAGTTGGGGATTATTTCTGCTTGGTTTTGTGATTATACTTTTGAATTTCAGATAGAGATTCTGCAGTTCTGCAAGGACTAAACCAGTTAAGTGCTAATTGATTTTCTAGCACCTATAAAGAGGTAATTCACCCATTCCATCTCCCACTGAAAATAGCAATGACTATTAAGGGAACAGCACAAGAGCAGTATTGTAGTCAAAAGTAGTAAATAAATAGTCAGAGTATTTGTTAGTGAGAGCAAATAAGGATCTGAGTTTTTAATGGATGATTCAATCTGAATTCCTCGCTCTCCATTCACTCTGTGGCTGCTGTGTGCTGCAGTCCCGCCTCTCACTGCCAGCCTGCATTGGGATGATAATCAGTCACTATGAAAACTCATTAGCTCCACAGCAATGAGTCCTCCACTGCTGAAGCTTGGTGCTGTTCTTAGTACCATGGCAATGATCTCTAACTGGATGTCCCAAACTCTCCCATCTCTGGTAGGACTAAATACCACCAGACTACCCACTTCAGATACTCTAGTAAGTAGCTGTGATGTGTTGCAAGCCATCTTAATGCTGAACTAGAATTAGCAAAAGCTTTACTCTGTTGCCTCTTTGTAAATCTTTTTAATACTAACCTTCCTATCATCACTTAATGCATGCTATCTGGGCATTATAAATTGGTGAGCATGTTGTGGTCTTACTATGGACAAGAAGATTATCAAGTAACATCCTTAAATATTTATGAAAAAATGTTTTCATCTTGAGGGTGAAATGCTAAAAATAGTACAGCAGCGTCATTTTATTTGCCTAGACATTTTTCCTTTGTTTACTGCTCCAGAAAAATGTAGTGCATTATTAAAGAAAAGAGATTTCAGGCAACAGATTTCTTGTTAATTTTTGTCTGGATACTAATATACATTTTTCCTTATTGGAGCACAGTCAAACAAATAAATAGCTTTTAGAAACAAAACAGAATTGGTACTAGGAGGCTGGGTATCAGAAAATTAGAAAGGCAAGTTACAAATGACACAAATAGCAGTTTGTATGGCTGATGATCTTATATAGCAGCATCTATTAAAGACCACATACAGAAAACCTGTGATTAGCTATTCATGAAAATTGTAAATAGCAAGCATTTAATTGGACAACAGGGAACACCATACTGGTATTCATAAGTTGAAGTGAAACAATTTTTCCTAATGCTTAGTGAAACACTATATGTTAACTGCAATCAGATGTTTATATAAGTGTGTTATGTAAAATGTAAATTTCACTATTTGTACAGAAGATTGCTATGCTCAGACTTTAATTTTTTAGTTGTAAACAAAAATGATGTATTTACTAATCGATGTTAAATTGAATATATGTATGCAGGAAAAGCATTACTGCAGAAAGTTGCTACATTTGGGCTTTAAATGCTGCTACTTAAAACTTAATTATGCTGTAAGAAAGAATTCTGTTAAGTTTTAGAGCAGCACAAAGCTGAACAGATGAAGAAAAATTCCATTTTATTTTCTTTCAATATAACTTATGTCCAGTGAACTAGAGTGTAGGTGGCAATATGATATAACAAGAAATAAGGTTCCCTAACTTAAATCCAAGTTTAAAGCTGCAACTGAGTAGCTGAGAGTTTTACCCTAGTTACTATATAATGTAGGCATAAATAGTTATAGACACACACATCTATCATTATATATGCTTACATGCTCAGATTCAAAGTAGTGTGAACTTGTGCTTCCCTTCACTCCAAAAAAACCACAAATTACACAAAGGCCTCATAAGTGTTATTTCAGTGATGCACTTTGCACTCATTAAGTAGGTGTTACAGACACATTTCATGTTTCAAGAGAACTAGCACGAGTGCCCTAAGATCCAGGGACACAATCATAGAATCCTTATCTGAGATTGGCATCATCTGCCAAATGGAAAAAATACCATCTTCAGTCTGTTGGGGTTTTGGCATAAAACCAAGCATCTCAGGCTTTTACTTAACTTCAGCTGTTGGCTGACAGACTTTATGCCCCAGATGTTTGACAGTGCTGTTAGTCATCACTAACTGCTCACCAAGCTGCTGTCATCCACTGTCAGCTTCCCCAGTGACCAGAGCAGTGTAAGCAGTGCTCCAGAAGTTTTCTTCTAGGATATATACAGCTCAGAAATGTCAGGAAAACAAAGTAAAACCTCCTCATCTTCACTAACATTTTCTCCTCCTCTCAAGTGGAACAATGAGGTGAGGTCAGGGGAACAGGCCTCCTCACCAGACCTCCTTCCCTGGACTGAAGTCACAGGACAAATTGACAAATACTGTCTATATCTAAGCAACGATATGAAGTATACATGTTGCTATTTGCCCTGTCACTAATAACAGTGGAGGCTCCTATAACAGTTCTATAAGAATATCTACAATTGCAAGTTAAAAAAGTACAACTTTTTGAGTTAGGTGAAGTGATTGCATAGCACAGCAGCCTGCCAAACCAGATTAATGCAGTCTTGGGGGAGACGCCTCTGTTTTCTCCAAATTTCCAAAAACTAGTATGATTTATTATCATTGTTGCTGTTTGCCAGTCGTTATCTCTTTCCTCGTATGTTTTCTAAGGCCTGTCAGCAGTAAGCCTGCATCTGAATGTAGATTCAGTAGCTCTCCTCAGGTTTTGATGCCTGCTAGATTTTCCCTCACAGCGATTTCTGCTTAAGAAAGGGCTTAAAGGGCAAAGCAAAGAAAAAATAACAACCCATCCTACTTAACAAAGGAACCCTAATGGGATAAATACAGGTAAACATGGACTACCAGAAAGAACTACAGCCTATACGGGAGGTGTGAATTCAGCACTCATTTCTGCACAGGTATTCCATCACAGCACACTCATACTGTGCCTGAAGGTCTTTTTTAGTGAGATTTTTTTTTTTTTTAATCAAGTCACAATTAGGTTGAGTTGATCAATAATCTTTTTTCTTAGACCAGACACAGACATATTACATCATTAGAACCATTAAGTTCCATTGACAACACAGCCTGGACTATAACTGCTTCACTACAGACTGTGCATGATGGTGCTGCCTCATTCATTCTCCACTGTACAGAACTCATTCACTGATGTACTAAACTGAATGCAGTAAAATCTAAATATAGATTTTAACATAATATCACAAATATCACAATCTGTGCACAAATCATACTGAGTATTCCTGTCCTATAGGACTTATCACAAGCTCTAGGTTCCTGAACTCCAACAAAAGCTTGCTCCTGCATGGCCATGCTGTCTGGGCATCAGTTCTACACAGAAACATAAAAACTTGTGGAGTGAACAGAGCTTACACTTCACAAGGGTTACCAGCTTTGATGGGCTTCAGTTGTTCCAGCCTGCAGTTTTAGTATCTGCTCAAAACCAAATTAAACTACCTCTCCAGCTGTAAGTTCAATTCTTATTTTTGTATACATGTATAACTAAATTCCTTTTGCCCTAAAAATTAAGTACATCATAGAAGTGGAACCATGTAGCACTGGATATGCCTTTCTAGCAAATTCTAAGGCAAGTTTAGCTATCCCCTATTTACAGTCATCTATGTATGCCTTCTTTTTCCTTGCAAAACAGGGGAACACCCCAACTCTGCATTTTTCACTAAATTCCACAGTAGAAGAGATCACTGCCATCTTCAGTGGCTTCAGAGTCATTGTAGGGAAAAAAGTTTGCCTTCTAACACTGAATTGATTCTCAGAAAAGTAATGCTAACTTCCCTACTAATTTCAGTCTACAGAGATACTGCATGTTTTCTGAGGTGAGGAGTTATGCAATTTACTCTTCTCGCTATGCATCAATAGAAGCTTGCCGGTTTTAACAATCACTCTCCATGCTAACAATTAGTGCAATTTTATATATAATTAGTAATTGATTTCAACTATGTCCAGAAATATTTCAGTACTATCCCATTAGCAACTGTACTGTAAAATTCAGTCAATACTGTATTATTAGGAAAAAATAATGCTTAATATTAATTTTAAATTACAGACTGAGAAAAGAAAAATATTTCTGGTGTCCATTAGTCTTCATTCCCTCACCTGAGTTCAGTCATCTAATTACATAGTCTTATTCCAACACTCTAAGACCTCCATAAAATCAATTAAACGGACAGATACCACTTTCACAAAGTGCCACCCAAGCTTTAAAGGCATTTTAAAGGAATGCTAGGAATTTCCAGAACTGTTCTGTCCTAGTGAAGCACAGTTCAGTGTCTTAACTGCATTATGCCATGTCTGCCATCACCTCCCTCCATCTAAACTAACCTGGCACTTCTCAGCACTGCTCTGCAGCAAGCCTTCTCCCTTCAGTGTGAGCACAGCTGAAGTCAATGGAGAAGAGTTTCCTGTACTGCATCTTGAAGAGCAAACTTGCCAACCCCCATCCAGAACCATTCCCAAGCCACCTTCCTGTTGCATGAGTCACATATACTGTGCTCTCTCTTTGGGATTTTATATTTGTTCTTTTCTGTCTTTGTTGTTTCCATTAGTCTAAAGTAAAAGTCATTCAGGCTGAAAGGACATATTTGTTCTCTGTTAATGAAAAACCGAAACACTGCTCTGCAAAGAATTAAGTCAACCAGCTTCTGCTGGTTCCCAAGCAGGAAACCGTTCTCATACACAGTTGAAACAATGCTCACAGCACACTGCTAAATAACTATTACAAATCTGAACAAAATCACCAGTATAAATAGTTAAGAAAATAATGAGCAATGACTAGGAGGAACCTCACTGCAAACATATACTGCAAAAGTAAACCAAAATAGGTAGTGTTTTCAAACAACAGAATCAGTTCAGTTCCCTTCATTTGTATTATTACTATTGTATGTTACAGACTCAGATTAGCCCCAAGGAAGGGTGGCAAGTTTATAGTTCAGCCCAGGATCCTGATGGCCGCTGCATTTGTACAGTTGTTGCACCTGAACAAAACCTGTGTTCAAGAGATGCCAAGAGCAGGCAACTTAGACAGCTACTAGAGAAGGTAAGTCTGCCCAATGAACTCCTCCTTGTGGTCAATACATTTACCACAAAAATCCACTTCTTTCTGTTATCTAACAAAAATATTTCTTCAGGGTATGTCTCCTATCAGTGTTTTCAGCACCTTCCCAAATTTTTTCTGTTGTTGTTATAGCATACCTTTGCCAACCCAAGCCACTTACCTAGCAAAATAAAGCTGCATCTTCTCTTATTCATTCCTCCCAAAAGTTTTCCTTACATGTAGTCAGGACTGATTTTCCCTGTGTTGAATGTTACAAATCCCACCTCAAACTACCTAGTTGTTGGAGTGTTTGAACTACAGCTTCTGCTTCAGTTATGTGTCTTTTAAAGGTCATTCCATGCCTCACATCAACTAATAATGAAACACAGGCAGGACAGCATGATCAAAGCAGATCGTACAGAAGAGGAATATGCTAAGTTGCTTGTACTTATTTTCTCACTTACTATCTTCTTTGTTCTCTGGTTATGCAAATTTTGCCCAAACAACCCAAGATCTACTCCCAGTACCATCCACTATTGTCTATACTAAAACTAGTAAAGTGTTACGTTGTACCAAAAAAAAAAAAAAGCTGCAACCATGAAAACACAAACTATTGTCCTGCATTCTCTGCATACTTAAGTCAGTAGTGATTGTAGTGCATAACCTCAGAGTATGAGATAGAATAGTTAAACAGCAGCAGCAGAAAGCAACATACAATGTAGACAGAAAAAACGTATTTTTAGCATACTGTATTTTTTCAGTATAGTTCTAGCTAAAAAAAATCATGCCAGTGTTAATATAATGCCAGATCTTGCAGATTTGCTCTTCATAAACCTCTGAACTTCAGTGGAGACTTAATTTCAGGTTTTTGACCGAGTCCGTAGCATGACATGCAGCTTAGTAGTTTTAGAAATATTTCAAAACTTAACAACTCCCTTTCTCAGAGGAAAGTTGAAATAGGGAAGGAAACAGAATATTTGTTAAAAAAGAATAACTGCATTTGAAAAATATATTATTTTTAAAACTGGCAAAAGCATTGCTTTCTTAATAAGTGCAGTTAAAATATAAATTTACTCTAGATGAAAGTTCTTGCCTTACTATTGTGGAAGCGCCAGCAATAGCTACAAAGTCACTTGCCCTACATACAAAAGTTGCCTGTACATTCACTTCTTCTCATCTATTAAAAAAAAGTTTTTCTACCATTAAGACAATTGGCTAATATTTCTAATCTTATACCCATCTATAAAATCATAAGCAAACACCAATTTAATAATAAGCGCATCCCAGCTTACATCTAGGCAATCTCATGGTTTCCTTCTACTGAATTATTCTCTCAGCACCTACTAGCTAAAAATCACTCAGCAAAACTATCCCAATTTTAGTCCCATTACTCTTGAAGTGCCTGGAAGAAAACACATGCTGCATAGAACACCATGAAGAACAGTCACCATCTACCACAGAAGACAAAGTAGACTAGTAGACTCCCATGCTTAACAGCATTTTTCCAGACCATCAAAAGTGGAGCTGAGAGGCTCTTCCCCCCTACATCAAAGAAACCATCAAGATCCCTAATGGCTCTAAGACCTTACTCCTGCTAGTCCTCTGTTAGCCCTGTTTCCCAAATTTTGTACTGTCATGTTATGAAATTTAAAGCTTATACTGTGGTATAAATGACTCACAACTAAAGCCTTACTATAAGCACATTTTATTGACTGACATTTAACTACTTAACCAGGAATAAAAAGTAAAGCAACAAAAAGTGCATTTAGAGAGTGTTCTTCTTTAACAGGTTCAGAATATGTCCCAATCTATTGAAGTTTTAAATCTACGGACTCAGAGGGATTTCCAGTATGTTTTAAAAATGGAAACACAAATGAAAGGGCTGAAGGCCAAGTTTCGGCAAATTGAAGATGATCGGAAGACATTAATGACAAAGCATTTTCAAGTAGGTTTTATTTTAACAATAACTTTGAAAGCCTGCTGGAAGCAATGTACTAAGCAGCAATGCATGGACTGCTAAGATCTCAGCTTGCAATGCTCATACAAGAGCAACATTAAAAAAGAAAAGAATAATAAAGTTTCCTTTATGATGATAATCTTTTGCTCTGTTCAATTTAATTGTGCTAGGAAGAAACTATTAATTATTAAAACATTAGAATAATGTCCCTAGAAACTGAATCCTGTTTTTTTCTGTACCAATGTGCATGTCATACTGAAAAATTATTGTTCATTAAAGATACACTGATAAATGGGAAGATTCAAAGAAATTAATATCAAATAAGTAAAGAGTTCTACACTTCTTCTGTTACCTGATATTTACTGCAGCTGAAGAAAAGAAAGCCAATAATAAATCAGTTGTTGTAATTTTCATACAGTACAGTTAAGGTCTAATTTCATATCTAAAGGTTTGCTATTTTGAGCTTGAGATAGGGGAGGAGGGCAATCATTCCTAGTCACATCTATTAAAAAAAGACTTCCAGGGAATTTTTAATGACAAAAAAAAAACCCACATGTGCCAATCTTTTCCTGAGTAGAAAGTTCACAAAATTTCATAGTATACTCTGAAATCAGCTATCTGAAGTACTCTTAAGGAAAAAAAAGATACAAGAAAATATGTTCTACAAATACCAGGTATAATAAATGGATATTTCTGGTCTGCAACATAGGATCTAGAAAAAACATTCTGCAGACTAAAGTAAAGTATATATATTTTTAAGTATTCATGAAACAAAATGGACTTAGTTCTCTAATCAATGCTGAGGTAAATAATTACATAATTTCTTTTTCAGATATACTGAATATCCAACACTTCTTAGTAATATCAGGAATTATTACATTAATTATCTGACTACCAAATTTAATATTTTCTTTCATCATTCTTTATATTAGAGTTTGAGCACATATATCCAGTCATTTTCAGGCAGTAAGAAATGTCTCTGTCTTTTTTCCTTTTATCACTCATTGCTACACCACCACTGTATTTGTGTAATATCATTATATATTCATTATGTATTCTGTATTCCTGTTCTAAACTTACTTGGCAACAAAATATCTAAATTGACTGTCTGATGCTTGACATCAAAGGCAGTAGATTTCTGCAGTACTGACCTTTTCAGTATTTGATATTTGTATTGGTCAGTCGTTTAACTTCTATTTGACAGTTTGCCAGGTGGACAAAACAGATTTTTAGACATCTAAATGACAGAATAATTTGAAAGGTCAACACCATGCAATATGCAGTTAACTTTCTGGAATTCGATCTACTAAATTTCCAGTCCTTTATCTCAACTGAGACAAAGAAACTCATTCTTAACATAGCATTACCTCTCATATCAGCAGGCACTAAGTGCTAGGATATGTCTACCACCCTTCATACTGCAATACAATTTAATTCTTGTACCGTCATAGAAACAAAAGTTAGGGTGTGTCAGAAGACACTTTTTTCTTTGTGAAAACACCTAGATCATCTTTATATCATTTACTGAAGATGTTCTAATGTTGTGGTTCCATATTTTTGACAGCCAGAGTACAAATTTGATCCAGGTGATACTTGAGCATATGGTCATACTTATGTCAAATCAGCACTCATGCATTCACTGTGTCTCTTATACACATTTTGCTGAGTTACAATTTGTTCATTTTTTTCCATCATGATTTATTCATGGTTTTTAACTGTTTATGGCTTCACAGAACCAAAGCCTAAGTTCATTACCTCCAAATTAAATAAAAACTTCGACTTCTGAAGTCGAAGACATGCTTCCCATGTCACAAAGACTACTCTTGCTGTCATCAAGAAAACCATAACTATTTTATTTTTGCAGATAAAGTAGACTAAAACTGAGCTTTTACTAAGAACAATCAAATAAAAATAGTTTTAGCTGCAGAAGAACTCAATAATTCAGCTATTAAAGCATAATTTGAAGACCCCTTGACAACAAAATCAAAGATAAAAAGGAAACCCATGATTCTTATTAATTAATTTATAACTATTATTATGCTTGTATTAAAAATGCTAATTTCTAGCTATTAAGATGACCTGTGTGCAAAATACCCTTCTGAACACCACATGTAGGTCTTTATTTTGAACAAATAATAATTCCAATATGGAAGAAATTGTTAATGCCCCATGGATAAATTAGCTGAGTGATGAATAAATGCTGCATACCTCTCAAGCGATTTTCAAACCTGATTGAGAAGTGAAAACTCAGAGATAGGTTTTCAACCATTTGTAATGGCCAATCCCATCCACTTCTTTCATATTTCCTTACTAGCAAAGCATTCTGTTTGGCATCAGATTATTTATTTTTGAAATGTTTTACTATGCTTATTGCATCCTATAATACAAGTGATTTAAAAAACTGTGCACGTGCATCTCCATACATCTGTTATTATGCTAACTTCTGACCACATTTGCTTCTGCAACTCTTCCTTGTGCTTAGGCTTCACTCTAATTCTCTTCTGTTTTTCCTTTTAACCTCCTGACTACACTCCAGCCGTCTTTCAGGACTGTATTTTCTAATCCCTTCACAATAATCCCTCCCTGGGTGTCCTCATCCGTTCCCGATCTCTATTATCACCTAATAATAGAACCTAACACGTCTCCATTTCCACCTTTTTTATTGTTTTGCCCAGTCTCGCATCTTCCCATGCCTCTAAGCATTTGCTCATGGACATCCTGCTGTTTTCACAAATTAAAAACAGATATGCAAATCTCTGTGTACGGCTGATACATCAAGGACAAACCTGCATGCTTCTCAGAAAAGAAAATATTTTGATTTCAAGGATTTTTTGAGGCTTTCTACACAGCAACGACCGAGCAAAAAAAAAAAAAAAAAAGAAAGAAAGAAAAAAAAAAGAAAAAAAGCACCTCAAGCAACCTAAGTTAATAAACATTAAGATTTATATCTTTAAAAAATAATAACAACATAAAGAATGATTAGGCACCATAAGTTGCAACCAGAGAAATTCTCAAAGAACATGACTGCAAAGTCTGAAAAAGCATCAGCCAGAGATTCCAAACTGAAGCCTTACTTCTTTAATAAACACTTAAGGATAGGATTGGCAACATAACACCAACTGCACATGGCAATAAAATGATTTGCAATAGTTCAGAGCAAAAAATAGAGGAAGCTCAAAGGCACCTAGTGATGTACCTGTATGACAAATACTAATCAGTTTAAGAACCACAGATATTTTTTGCATAAAAAGAAAGAGATATATATGATTGTGGTATATGTGATATATGATCAGAACTAAATAGGGCTCAAAAGACATTAAGAAAGAAATGAACTTGGTATTTCTAAGGAATGAAATAGAATTTAACAGTTTACCTGCTATAAAAACAGGTATAACATCTTTGATGCTACTATGGGTTCAAGCCTAATCACCTTCTCTCAAGAAAGATACAGTTAGTTGGGAGTTTATACCCTCTGGATAGAAAGTCAGACCTTCAACATTTTTGGTTTCCATCACTTGAAGGTAATCATGTAACACAGCAGAAACAAACTATTCTCTCATGCATTTTATCTACTGCTTACCGCCATAAATTCTGAGGTTTCTAAAGCTTCTACAATAAAAAAAAAAACTAGATCTGTAGCTAAAATCAATAATCATTTTCAAGTCATTTTAATAATTAGGCATAAATATTACATAATGGAAAACAAGAGGACTGAACTCCTTTAAACTGCTCTAACATACATCCAATTGCCTTTAACAGGAGTTGAAAGAAAAGATGGATGAGCTCCTGCCACTGATCCCAGTTCTGGAGCAATACAAAACTGATGCCAAATTAATCACCCAGTTCAAGGAGGAAATTAGGAATCTGTCCACTGTCCTCACTGGTATTCAGGAAGAAATTGGTGCTTATGACTATGACGAACTACATCAGCGGGTGCTCAGTTTAGAAACAAGGCTTCGAGACTGCATGAAAAAGCTCAGTAAGTTTAAAATTTCACATATGATTTGATCCTTCTGTTGAATGTTTATAATTTTTCTCAGTAGAAAGAAAGTTTCCTTCACAATGAAAGACTGTATCATATCCTGATTCATGCTATACTAATAAATATCAAGAGTAACTCATCTTAAGTACAGTCCTATCAATAGATTTGCATTAACATCTATCCTGCTGTTTACAAAAATTATGCAATTATGATGGAAGATTATAAAAAACAGCAGCTTAAATCTGAGACACATCTAGTTGGAAAGCCACAAAGATTCTTTCTAAAAGGTTCAGACATATTCCTACTTTGAAGTTGGAAGTAGAATGGAATCAGTTTGGCATTGTCAATATTATAATAATGATGCAAATTTCGCTATGACGTCTGAGAGGGCACTCCAACTTCACTGTCTTTAGACCTGTAGTATCAGCACTAAAACAGCTAAGCCATTCTTTAATCTACAATACAATATAATTAGTATTACATCTAAGGGCAATAAAGCATGACTTCTCTAAAAAATACAGCACTGGTCTATCAGGAGCTCCACACAATGTCAGAGACCCTCTATCTTCATTAGTCTTGTACGAGCTTTAGTTAGAAAATTTAGTTAGAAAAGGTCAAAGTTCAACACCTCCAAAACTCAGCACTAGATTAGTATTACCTACCAAAACTAGATGTCTGAAGTATTATTAAACTTCAGCCTTAACTTTCATTACCCAAATAAGGGCAACTAGTATCTACATACTTCACAACCATAATGAAAAAAAATGCGCCCCAAAAGACATCCATGCATTGAGATACCTGAATAGATCACTATTGAAATCTTGGGTGCTACAGAGAAAGAATAAATACTTCCTAAGTTAAGAAGGAACACAAATCAAAGAAAAGCTCTAAGATTCCTTCCTGTGATCAGTATCTCAGTAAACAGTTATGGGATGTTTTACCTTCAAAGACTATATGTGACATGAAATACGTAATTAACTTTATAGGCAGTGTCTTCATTTTTGTGAGGCAATAGAAAGAGAAAAAATCTAGGTTAGATTACACTCTTAAATTATTTATTTTCACTGTCTTCATTTTAAACTAGAAATAGCACCGTGATGATAGGCTAAAATACATGAAAGAATTTGTCTAACAGAAATTTCTTATAGTCTTATTTTACCTTCAGTAATCATAGAATAGCATATTACCACACTGGCAGAAGGCAGCGAGGAGAAAATAGTTACGTTATAATATTGCAGCAAGCAATAAAAATCATACATAAATAGTATTTTCAGATAGTGTTCCTTTAAGTTCATCAGGCAACAAAAGACCATCATTATATGCTTAATGAGCATCTTATTTTTCCTTGATTTTATGGCATATCATATACCTTTAAAACTGAGTAGTAAAGTGACTACAGTACAGAACAGATTTTTTTGACATCAGAATGACCAGATGTATTCATTGGAGGACTCTCTTCTCAGCTGTTTACTATTTCCTTAGTTTTTCACCACATTTCCCCTCAGATATTCTGAATTCCTGCAGCATACTCTCTCTCGATGTACTAATGTTGAAAAGTTACATATATTAAATATATGTTCATGAACAATAGGGAGTTTTTAATTATTATGGAGCACATCCATGCCACCAACACACTAAAGTTCCTAACAAATGGATTCTTCCCTGGACATCTTTTCTCCTTCACACTCTCTACAGTCTTCATAGCGGTTCTAGTCAGGAGGGAATTAACTCTCCTGATAGCATCCCACTTGTTACTCTGTTTAGGATTTGTGACTAAGCTGGTGCTGACAGCACACCAATGTTTTTGCTAGTGCTGAGCAGTGCTTGCAAAGTGTCAACGATTTCTCTTTTTCCCAATGTTCCCTTCAGAGAGGGGTCACAGGTGGGGAAGAGATTGGGAAGAAACAGAGCTGGGACAGCTGACTCAAACTGGCCAAAGGGTTATTCCTTGCCACATAGCAGCATGCTCAGCAATAAAAACTAGGAAAGCCTGCCTTCCAAAGCAGCCATGGGTCAGACTTAATTAATTGGGCGTAGATGCTTAAATGACTTATTTTCTTCTACTAATAGCGGTGCTAAAATTTCTGGTCTAATCCTGTGTAGTCTTTATAGCAATTTAAAACCACTTAATTTAGGCTTACTGTGAACAGCTCCTAAAGAATTGTTCTGTGTGTTCCAGCCACATACACCACAAGAGATGACCGAGCTGTGACTGCCCATGCCAGTCTGACACCTAAAAGCCTGCGGCAGCAGAAGGCAGATTGGCCACAATGTTACACAGGATCTACCTTGAACCTTAACAGATTTTGTTGCATTTTGTAATATAATTACCTAACTTGCATGTGTAATAGCTATTTTCCATTCTTGTCCCTAACAAGCACTTTTTACCATTATAATGCATTATTTGTATTGTCCTGGCCACTTAGAGATCTTCCATCTGCACTGACAACAATTTCAATGTTTATTAGCATACAATAAGCAGTTGTTTTACTCTCCCTGAGATTTCATGATTACCATAGCAATTGTGATGACTGAAAATTGCTCTTTACCTTTGGAAAAGGAGAAAGCTCAGGTTAAAACTGCTCAAATTTAGCCATGAAACTTTAAAATGGAGCACATGAAATTAAACATGTAGAGGAAGTCTGTATGATTGCATATACCAAAACTGCATACTGACTTATGCACGTACAGGTCCTTCACTGGCAGTCACGAAAGGTACGCTTGTGTGAGAGAATGAAGATTTCACAGTAAGCCTGAGACCATTCCTTCATGTAACAAATTAACATTACAACAAATTTGATCATAATTTGGGGAGTGAAATAACTCACGGACTCAGAATTTGTGCAACCACTGAAAAGAAAACGTCATTTTCCCCTCTTTATTACCTGCAGTAAATGCAATGCTTATGAACTTCAGGAAGATGATTTGGTTGTTTTCATTTTATTTCCTTTTTAAGTCCTTCTATTAATCATACACTTACCTTGGCTTATGTAGCAGCCACCAACGTCCATTTGCATCAGAAGATCATATATTCCTAGCTGTCTTCAAAATAGCACCTGTTCAGATTATTTTCACAACCTTACCTAATAAAGATCTGTGTGACCAGTTACTTATTAAAGAGGGATTTCTAGATACAAAGATTTAACCAGAAAAAAGTCCTTGCTAGTTTCACAGAGTAGAAAAATCCAGGCTTGACGCAATCTTCTCCTTTGAACTGAGTAGGATCACTCTCAATCCTATATAACATTTGTTTTCCACATTTCCTATGTAGATTGGCTTATACACTATAGCACGACCAAATAATCATGGTGAAACACTTACTTATAAATTTAAAAGAAAAATGAAATGGCATGTCACTTTTTTTTTCCCCATTCTTATAAAAAATCCTTTCTTCAAAGATGCTACTTCACTTAAACACCTACACATCACTGTGTGATATTAAGTCTCTTGGTAAACACACAGATTCCATCAAGGTCTTGCTGCTAATATGTTTGTTATTTATGTCTCCTGAAATATAGACTTTTGGTTCATTAATAAGGTCAACCACCAAGATCATATTGATTTTCATTATTTCCTCTTAGACAGCCTAACGCAACACAGTATAAAGGATTAGAAGACAAGTGATATAACCACAGTTGCTGAATAATTCTCATATTCAGTTTTTTAGCCTTAGCCAGGCCCATAGTACCAGCCCATCTGTGTGTATATAACCCCAGGGCAGAGAGATGCAGGCCTGCACTTGTACGCAGTGGTGCATTTTGAGTAGAAGATGCACTGTCTCATTTTTACCTCTCTGCTCTTCCCCTCATTGTTACCCTGATCAGTGGAAAGCTGAAACATTCATCAATTCACTGAACTTTCTGAAGGCAAAAATAAGTTGGGTTTTATGTCTTTTCATTTAATATTAAATGTTATTTATGTCAACTGAAAAGATATTTTACTAGGCTATATTTTTCTTTACACCTAAAAAATGAAAACGTGCTCTAAAAGACACAAAACCAAAAATATACACAGGTTTTGTTTTCAGTTTTTTTGTTGTTGTTGTTGTTCTTGAGGTTTTCTTTTGTCTCTTTGTTTTGTTATATTTATATTGTTGCTTAATTCAAAAAAGTCAATACAATGAAGATGACAATTCATCTTCAGCCTAAGCCTGAGTTCCCTGGAGCAAGTTTTTAGTTTTGAGCAGTTGGTCTAGTGCTCTGTCTGATGTCAAGGAGGGTTGTGTAATTATTTACATTAATGCATTTGTTTTTCTAATTTCAGCGTGTGGCAAATTGATGAAAATTACAGGCCCCATTACAGTCAAGATATCCGGAACCCGATTTGGAGCCTGGATGACAGATCCATTGGCATCAGAGAAAAATAACCGAGTATGTTAAAATTCTGAATATCTGTGTCCTTTATTTGCTTTATTTTAATTTTTAAAAAGAGATTTTTCCCCTAGCAGGTTACACTCGCCAACATATTTCTTCCGTCATTTTCACTGCTAAACATCTTCAGAGAGAGACCAAAAGTGTTTGGGCAAAAAAATATCCAAAGGCTAATGTTAGCATAGCACATTTGTGCCATTTCCTTTAACTGCATCAGGGATGATATAAACCTATCCAAAGTGAATATATATTTCATTTCTTCCTAAGATTTTATTAATCTCAGCTCCTTAAGAACCTAAGTAATTTAATACAAACATCAATACCTGTGAACACAGCCCTCCCCCATAATACAACATTGCAGGATTAAGCTCTATAGAAGCTGAATACTGACCACTGGCCATAATGCATATGTTATTTTTTGCGTCTGCAATAGGATCCCAGCCTGGCCACCCTAAGAGTTCACTTGTATAAGTAAATCTTGATTTGGAAATCCAAGAGTTCTTCATATCTTTCTATCAGGAATTTGGAAAATATTTTATTCTGACAGACTGTTGTGCACCCAAAACCTTTTTCCTTCTTTCTCAGTTACATATTCATCAGATCATATCACAGTCACGTGCCTCAAATTGTGTTCCAGATATTCACTTCCAACTTTTGTTTTCTTTCCAGGTCTGGTACATGGATAGTTACACTAATAATAAAATTGTCCGTGAATATAAATCAATTGCAGACTTTGTCAGTGGGGCTGAATCAAGGACATACAACCTTCCATTCAAATGGGCAGGAACCAACCACGTTGTCTACAATGGCTCCCTGTATTTCAACAAGTACCAGAGCAACATCATCATCAAATACAGCTTTGATACTGGGCGGGTGCTCGCACAGCGTAGCCTTGAGTACGCTGGCTTTCACAATGTCTACCCCTACACTTGGGGTGGCTTTTCTGATATTGACCTGATGGCAGATGAAATTGGGCTCTGGGCTGTGTATGCCACCAACCAGAACGCAGGCAACATCGTTATCAGCCAGCTAAACCAGGACACGCTAGAGGTGTTGAAGAGCTGGAGTACAGGCTACCCCAAAAGAAGTGCTGGAGAATCCTTCATGATCTGTGGCACCTTGTATGTTACTAACTCTCATTTAACGGGAGCCAAGGTCTACTACTCTTACTCCACCAAAACCTCCACTTATGAGTATACAGACATTCCTTTCCATAATCAGTATTTTCATATATCCATGCTTGACTACAATGCAAGAGATAGAGCTCTCTATGCTTGGAATAACGGACACCAAGTCCTGTTTAATGTCACTCTTTTCCACGTCATTAAGACTGATGATGACACATAATTCTCTTCCACTTTTCCTTCCCTCACCCTTCCTCACCTCAAAACAGCCTCATTTGTGAAAAATTCTAAAACACCCATTTCTCTTAATTCAATGTATTTTTCATTTCTTTTCTCCATTAAGAAAAAGTAACATTTTCTACCATGCAATGCATTTCAAATATGGCTGTACCTGTCAAAAACAACTTGTTGGAAATAGAAGCATCGTAACTCATGATTCTACAAGGTATTGACAGACATTGTTGTGAAAAACACTACAGAAGTGGCTAAGGACAGTTTAAAAGATATTGATCTGCCTTATTTTAGAGTCAGAGACTAATGGTGGCTTAAATGCATGAATGTCTTTTTTTTACCTCATTTTTGTTTTCAATCTCTTGTTAAGCTCCAGGAAATATTTTGGTAATGTAAGACATATTGCACATTGTATTTTTTATTTATTCTAGAAGGAAGATTTAAGAATTTAATTTTACTTGGACACAGAGTACAACTCATTTTGCCATCACCCGATTCCAGATGTGGTGCTGTACAATATGTTTTTAAATCTCTTGCAAACATTTTATCAACAGTATGTATTTCTACCATTGTAACCACCATTGTGCAATTGTATCTCTTCACTTATGTGAAAGTAAACTAAGTACTATTTTTTATAAAATATATTGAAGCTTAATTGCAGTTCTGGCTATGGGTCAGTTGACAGTGGTAACTCAGAAAAGGTTGTTATTTGTTAGAAAAGATGGTTCAGTAGCGTTTTTAAATGCGTGATCCCCATTCTCAGCTTTCCTTGGAACACCCCTTCTTAATCCCTATTGGTGCTAACTCAAAAATTTGCAATTTTGAAGCCTCATGCCAATCCTTGTAAGACATTCGCCTCAGCACTTGGGCTGTTTTCCAGCAAGGGCAAATAAAATGGTAGCTCTACAATATCTCATTAGAAACTGGATGGTAGAGGTAATATCTTGAGGAAAAAAGTGTTGTAAGCCTCATTCTATTTCATTTGAAACTACTGGGGGTGGTGATGAGGGTTCCGTTAAGGAAAAAAATAAGATGCTATTTATTTAGGCACACCCACAAAGAAACTAATATTAATAAGTACAATAGACTTTATATTAAGTTGGGTTGTCACATAAGAGACAGGTACTTGAAACCATGCAGAAAGCCTTGTTCCTCACAAAACCTGAGATTTTCCTCTTTTAACCCATTTAAGATCGCTCATAGAAAATCAAGAATACTTATAAAGATACTCCTGTTTAAGAAAAAAAAAATGCACAGGTATTTTGCTAGATCCATTTTGAAGACATTTGATTCCTCAATTCTTCCAGTGTACCAGTAGAGACCATCTTAGAATAATGAAAACATTCACTTACATCCTATACATAGTAATGAGTCTGGCTTTACAACAATGCCCATGTGGAGATGAACACAAATTGCCTTACTTTTTCAAACTGGTTGCAAAACAAAAAACAACCCGAGAGGTTTCAAGAACTGACAAAGGGGGAAAAAAAAACCCAAACCTAAAAACACACAAAATCAGAGAAAAGTTAGAATCATAAAATCATTAAAGTTGGAAAAGACTGCTAGGATCATCTAATCCAACTGTCCACCTATTACTAATATTGTCCACTAACCATGTCCCTGAGTACTACATTCTTGAACACCTCCAGGGGTGGTGATCCCACCACTTCCCTGGACAGCCTGTTCCAGTGCCTAGCCACTTTTTCAGAGAACAATTTTTCCTACAGTCCAACCTGAAAAGTTACTCTTCTATGTCCACTTTCCCCCTTTGTCTCTAGTAAAAACGGCAGCTGTAACCCTTCAAAAGTCACTCACAGTGGAGACAGACTCCAGGTGAATAGACAAGTTAAACTACTGCACTCCTGTATCAACTTGCCACATGTTCCAGTCTTGACAACTTAACTATGACAAAGGAATATGTATGTGACTGCTGATTAAACTAGCTTTTTTATATCATATAGGAATGTTTTATGGAAATGAAATATCTTCACCCTAAAGCAAACACTAATCTTTCCTCCCCACAGAGTAACAAAACAGATTTTTTTTTTTTAAATATAGCACTCCGAAAAAGTTACTAGTGAGAAATTAAACTTTTCTACCATCATTAATACTTATATCTGGGGAAAAAAAGTTACTACTATTCTTCAAGTGTAATTACAGTATATACATTAGTATAAGCTTGTAACATTTCTTAGAGTAGCATTAATCTCATTTACTTAGCAATTTAAAGGGTAACATGACTACATTCCTAATAATCAAAGGAAAGAGTCTACTGAAGGGTGCTGATGATAGGTGAATAAGAGAAAGGCACCTCTGAAGAGTTATTTGTCTTACTGATAAAACCACAGCACTAAGGTTTAGGAGTCATACCTAAATAAATCCTGCCTACCTAATAAATAACAGTGGGTTGAATTTCAAAACCTTTAAACAAGAAATAATAGCTTGCACACAACAGAACCTGGTGAGACACTACCAAGGAAGCAGCACTACCTCCTCTTGAGAAGAATCCATTTTTCTGTGAAAGTGTTGATTATCTGAATTTGTTTTTTAAATAAGAAATTCCACTCATATTCCCAAAAGGCTGCAAACATCATGCCTTAATATGTGCAATTTTAAATTTTACAAACTGCTTTCATAACTGAGCAGCACAAGAAAAAATCTTCATAAAATAGCAGAAACCTTCATAGGCGTAAGTAAAGTTTTATTCTTACAATTGCAACATAGGCTGTTTGTTACTGGGATGTCATGATACTTGAGGGAAAAAAAGCTCTTCAAACACAGGAAAATTAACTGTGGTGCCTACATATATATCTTAGTGACGAATCATAACCTCCTGCTTCAAGGACTAAGTGTGTTACAGGTCCACCTGGCAGAGAAGGAGGCAGGTGAACACAAGGCAAGCATTGCATGCTGCAGTGCCTGCAGTTTCCTCCCTGCAACAGGTAAACCATTCCCCTGACAAAATGTGTGCAACAACTCACCACAGAGAAAGCTCCTTGAACAGCGATCGCCTTTTATAGATCCTTCTGGCAACTCATTCCAGTGAGCACTGCCAAGCTTCTCGCTATGCACACAGGCTGCTCAGCCAGCCCTACCTGTCACAGTGTGTTAAAGATGACCGCTGGCAGCAAATCTGGATCCTACGTGCCATTCCTGCCAATACAAGCAAAGGATTGGATTAAATTTGAAAAATTAAAAATGAATTAAAATACTTATAACTAAGAGTATTTATTTTCCAGACAAGCTGAGGCACTATCTATCACTCAGCTAAGCAGGCTGGATCAACAGCACAAGACAAGAGAATCTTTGTTTCAATCCACAGCATGAGTAAATCTCGTACCTGGTAGTTTGTCGTAATAACTACTTAGAAAAAACATGGGCTAGACATGAACAAACCACTCTTGACAAATTATTAATCTGGTTAATTTTATTCTTTACTAGTTTTAGAATTTCCAGGAAAGTATTGATTTGCACTACTTTCTATACTAGACAGTGTTCTGAGGAATCCTTCAGGTGAATATATTCTTAGAAATCATAGAATGATCAGGGTTGGAAGGGACCTTTAAGATCATCTAGTTTCAACCCCCTGCTATAGGCAGGGACACCTCCCTATAGACCAGGTTTCTCAGAGCCCCATCCAGCCTGGCCTTGAACACTTCCAGGGTGGGGACATTACGACCTCTCTGGGCAACATGTTCCAGTGTCTCACCCCCCTCACAGTAAAGAATTTCTTCCTAAAATCTATTCTAAATCTACTCTCTTCCTGTTTAAAGTCATTTCCTCTCATCCCATCACTATATGTCCTTATAAAAATCCTACACCAGCTTTTCTCAAGGCCCCCCTTTAGATACTGAAAGGTCCCTCCAGAGCCTTTTCTTCTCAAGGCTGAAGAGCCTCAACTCTCTTCAGCCTGTCCCTGTAGGGGAGGTTGTTTTCTTATAAATCATCAGAGTGCTCCCTGCCGCAAGTCTGACTCCACATCCCTGGAATTCCAGAGGCAATGCTGAGCATCACTTTCACTGCTGAGGACTGCAGCTGCAGAGCTGCCACACTCCCACAGCAGTGCTGCAGACACTGGCTCCTGTCCCACTGCACCCTGCAGGAGCTGCCTTCCTCCAGAAGCTCACGTGGCCTCAGGCGTGCAGAGTAACTCCTACACTCCATCAGGGTAGAGAGGCCCTGAAAGCCACTTTCCCCACTAGGAACGTTTACCAAAACAAAAGAAAAGCACATTCTCCAAGCTGAGCTTTCCTTGGGAATTCATGCATGACAGCACACATGTATATTAAGGCACAAGCAAATAAAGTAACAATAAAATAATCTTAGAATCATGGCATAATAAAGTTATTTCTCCCACACATAACAGACCATTTACATTACACACAGATTATTATCTGTAGGGTTTTCACGTTCAGTTACTGAGGAAACACACATTTATTTTTCTCCTAAGCAGTTATTAGGAAGGCACAACATATAATATTCAGATAAAAAAAACTAGAACTAGGCCAAGCAGCACATAAGTAATGCAGCACTGAAGTACAAGTGGAAGATTTTGCATTCTCCAACCTTACAGTGTCAAAAGATTGCAAGAGATGAGTTTAGGGACCTGATCAATGTAGAGTACACTGGAGTTTTGTTTACACAGGTGGAAGAGTATACATCTCTTGTTAACTGTACCAAAACAGTCCACATGAGCAATTCTACTGTGCTGTAGACAAGACACAAACTATGTCTTGATTTTCAGTGTAGCTGAACACTAAAGGTTTGATGCTTTACTTTTGGCAGATAAGAAAAATTAGTCCCATTAAAACCAGTTTGAGTTCTGGCTTTACTTCTGCAAGACAGTAGATATACACAGCACAAACAGCTGTTCTGCCCCTTCCCCAGCAACAGATCAAGTGACAGCTGTATATTTTACTAGCTTTAACTCATTGATACAAGTGTCAGACAGCTCCTCATTCTTGGAGCAACAGCACTGAATGCCTGGCATTTCTTAGACACATCCTCAGGACTGCAAGGCAATTTGCAGATACTAATTAACCAAGATTCCCACACCATTAAGGAAGAAAGGAATTCCTTTTTTCAAGCCAATCTCACTCTTCAGACTGAGTAGTTTAGACTAATAACAAACTAAGGGTATCAGGTTTCTCTAGCTAACTAAGAGTTGATATTAAGATTTCCTTTTTCTCAAGTCAGTGTGTCATTAATTCACAGAACCAAATAGCTCTGCTCACCATCAGTTCCTGCACTCTTATGCTGATTTTTAATGGCTATTTCTAATTGTGTTTTCAGCCTTGTAAGGATGCCTTTGCACACACTGGCAAAGTGTTGACTCAGCTCTTTCAGTCCTAGCATCGTGTATTGCTAGTTAATTCACCATTATAATGAGCCTGTTAGATGTAACAGCCTCTAAATAGTTTTGGAAGGAAAAAAAGCCACTTCTGTAAGCTCTTTTTTCCTTTTATGGAGAAGAAATCCAAGGGATGCCACACGTGACTACTTTTGTGCTGCCTATACATATAAAGGTCTATGTTTCCTACTAACTGAATTGTATCAGCTCCAGTGCTAGGGACTTTACTATCTTCCTTTGTCCATAACAAGAATTAGCTGGAATGCA